AAAGATTTGTCCTGACTGTGGGCCAGGCAGGAAAACTCTAGCTACAGTCTTCCTGGGTCCTTCACACAGTGGCTGTGACCACTTTCCCACTGTAAAGTATTTCTTCTACAACCACGTTTCTTTAGGGCATTGTTTCTCTGCTGTGCTTTTATCTGTCTTGGCCCATTCTTTTTTCTCAGCCTGGCTTTTTACTTTAAAAAAATTTTTTTTTTAATTTATGTGTGTGCATGCATGCGTGTATTTATGCACAAGTGCCCGTGGGTTCTCACAGAGGCCAGAAGGTATCAAGATCCCTGAACTAGAGTTACGGTCAGTTGTGAGCTTCCACGAGGGTGCTGGGAGCCGAACGCCAATCTTCTGAAAGAGCAGCAAGTGCTCCTAACCACTGAGCCACTTCCTCGCCTCTCCTTTTTATTAAAAGATGCAGGGGGACAGGAGAGCAACACTACCTGCTTTGTGGTGTGTGAACTAAAGCAGAGCTGTGCAGTGGCCGGTCCAGCAACAGAAGGAAGGGTCATAACCTGGCCACTGAGGAAGATACACACGTTACTTAGGTGGTCATCTGTAGACTAAATAGCTAACAGATCACACTTTGCACTGTCTCCCAGAATATTTTGTGACAAAACAAATTTGAATCCTGTTGTTGAAGGCCTGATGTTACATAACAATGTGGGAATTGAATTTCATAAATATCAAAACTCTGCAATGTGGAGTGCTTATGTTCACACTAAAAAGAGGAGTCAAACACCATCAACTGTGGGGTAGAACCCAAGACAACAGGCACTCAGGGTCTGTCCAAGGGACTTTATGTAACTGAAGTTTTCCCTTAAAGCAGAATTCACACACAAGGGGGCTCAAGCTTGAACAGAAAAGCAGTAAAGCAGCGATTCCACCCTACCATGACAGGAGGGTGTTGTGTGCTCTTATTTATTTTTATTTAAGCCCAATGGAGCCACAATGAGAAGAACAAAGCACTTCCCTACCATCTAGTTAACGATTACTATGACACGCTTGTTGAGAAGGTATGAAGGAAGTCCTCAGCCCCCAAGCTGTGGCCTGATCGGGAATCTTTTCTTCCAGTTTTCTACACAGAAAGGCTAGAGGTGAAAGGAGAGTCACTGCCTCCTTCTGTCTCAGTTCGAGTGGTAACAGAGACAAGGGTGGAGTTAGATGCGTGTGTCCCCGAAACCTCCGCCCCCTTTCAGCCTGTTGTGAACTCAGGATTCTGGGGCACTGAGTGATTAAGAACCAAAAAGATTATTTTAAAATTGAATTTAGACCATAAAAGAATCCTCAGATTCTTTAATTTAAGTCCTAGCCTATCTATCAAGCCTCTCGCCAAAGGAAACATTTATTTCTAAAATAAAGAGACCTATCCTTCACTTCAAATAACTTCAGGGAATCAGTGTTGATTTGGTAAGCTGATTAAAATAATGTTCCTTTTACGTAAGAAAAAAGTTGTGGGGATTGGGGTACGGCCTACCTTTCTGATAAGGTCTGAGAGTTCCATTTCTGCCTTCTGCTGGGCCAGATCCGACTTCACTTCCGAGTAAGTATCATTGATGATGGCCAAAAACATGTTCTGTTTGTAAAACAGAGGACGAAACTCAATATATATTTTGAAAGCAGTCTAAACATTGACACATGCCTTTTCGTTCACCTTTTTACCAAAGCTGAATAATCATAAAGTCACTGATAAGTTTTACTCTCATACTCTTTGAAGCAGTATTTCTCCACTACGTCATACCAAAGGAAGTCTCACTTATAAAACCACGCTGTGCTGGTTGGCTGTGGTCAGCTCAACACAAACTAGAGTCCCTTGGGAAGAGGGAACCTCAACTGAAAAACTGGCTCCATCGACTGGCCTGTAGGGGGATTTGTGAGCATCTTCTTGACTGGTGATTGGTGTGAGAGGGCAGTGGCCAGCACTAGCTATGGGCCAGGCAGTGGTCCTGGGCTGCATAAGCAAGCAAGCTGAAGAAACCATGGGAACAAGCCAGCATGCAGCGTAGTCTCCGGGTCAGTCAATTCCTGCCTCGGGTTCCAGCCTTGATCTCCTGCACTAACTGTCTTCAGTGAAGGACTGTATGCAGCATGTAAGGCAAGTAAACCTTTTCCTCCTCGTGTTGTTCTTGGTCAAAATGTTTTATAACAGAAGTTAGAACACATTTTTTGACATATTTTGCAAAGAGACAATAAAAAGCTACAAAGTATTAATGTATTTATGTACAGATGGAAGAATTATTATTGTTTTCTACTTTTAAAACGTTGAAGTTACTGTGTAAAACAAATTAATTAAACTTTTTCCAAGTTTTGTCATACACTCAGGTGAGGTACACGGGACATATTTTAAGAATTGAAATGACTTCAGTAACAGGCACAGAGTAGACCCCGTATAAAGACCAAGAAAATCTTTGTGAAAAGATGAAGACTTCAGAGCTCATCAAACTCGGGTTCTTGTCTTGGTGTGACTGGGAAGAGATGACGGAATTACCAGGAAATCAGGAAGAGATCAAACAACAACAACAGCAGCGCCCAGGAAGGAAGCAGAAGACAAAGGAAACCCCACTGTTTGCCTCCTACTATGTACACAGCTGGGCTCCGCAACAGCCAACCCTGCCTGTGTTAAAACAACTGCCACGGCAGCCACCATGTCAGACCTTCCAACCGGAACCCTCACACAACAACGAAAGGAAGCACCATGACCCAGTCAGCTGAACCTCGTGTGTGGGTAACCTGGAATCTCGAGCCCCAGAATCATCTAAAACCCGGGAAGGAAAGCCTGTGATCTGGGGCTCTCTCAGGAAACCCGAGCTCACTCTTCAAGTGGAAACTTTCTGTAGTAAACTTCCACACCATCTGTCCCTCACTTGTAACTCTTCCTTGACAGAGACACGAACCAGGGAGACAGGGCAGTCTAATCCAGCTTCCACCTCCAGCAAACATGGCATGGCCCACACATGTTGTCTGACCTGTGTGTAAGTGTTGTGTGAATGCAGGTGTGCATATGTGTGCACCAATAAGTGCACAGGCAAAGGCCAAAGCAAGCGTCTTTTCTTGTCTCCGTCTTACTGTCTTGAGACAGGATCTCTCACTAACCTGAAGCTCACTCATTGGCTACATTGGCTGAACAGCAAAATGCAGGAATCCGCTTCTCAACACCCACTTCCTGGTGCCCCGGAAGGTGGAGGGTGCTGTGCCGGCACAGGCAGCCATTTCTGGCATTTTACTTGACTGTTGGAGATGCAAATTCAGGTTCTCATGTTCTCAGAGCAATCATTCTTACCCAATCAGCCATCTCCCAAGACCGTGTCTGATTTATTTTAAAATATAATTATCTCTTTGCTGTTTGAGATTATAGTTTAATACAAGTGTTTGGTTTTTTGTTTTTTTTGTTTTTGTTTTTTGTTTTTGTTGTTGTTGTTGTTTTTTTTAACAGCACCTCCCTTACCTGTGCACCAGGCTGGCCTCAAACTCATAAATACCTGCCACTACCTCCTGAGCGCTAGGATGATTTGGCCCACTCGTTTTAAGAATTTGTCCTGCATTTCTTTTCTCTTTATGTATGTGTTGGGAGGCAGCCCAGGTATGCTCACCCATACAGGTGTGTGTGGCAGCCACAAGGATGCCTTCCCCACTCACTTCTCCCTCCACCTGCTGTGTCCACACGGGGTCTTTCCCTTGACCCAGAGCGTCCCTCATTTGGCTAGTCGATCTAGCCATTTGTTCAAGGGATCCTGTTTCCATCTCTTTGAGCTCTGGGACAACAGGCTGGCTGCCATGTCTGAACCACACTCACGTGGGGGCTGGGGACCTGGACTCGGACCCCTAGGCTTGAGCAGAGAGCACTTCACACACGCAGCCCTCTCCCTAGCTCCTTGCATGGCATTTGTAAGATGGAAAAAGTAACAGTGCCGCCCTTAAAAACTGCTTGTGTTGGTTAGTGAGGTAATCCACGCCGTGCTCAGGAACAGCGACAGTTCTAATCACTACAGCTGCTGTCACCCACCAATCTCTACCTGCTTCTCCTAACATCGTCCCTCCCCGGGGGTAATGAGTATTCCCGTGAGTTTGCACACACTTTCTCAAAGCACCTAGTAAACCAGCTCCGTCTCCTGCACGCTGTTTGTCTGTATCTGGCAACTGGCTTATAGCTGCAGGGGTATAGTTAACTATGTCTGCTTTCCCCACAATTTGTGGGGAAAATTCTGTGGATTTCCACAGAATCAGAGGAAGTCCAGGCTGTTTCCCTTTTCACAGCTCCCTCGGCTGTATAACACATTACCGAATGCACAAACACTGTAGTTTACACTCTATATGACCCAGACCATCTGTATAAGAATACAGTGGCTCAGACAATATTCATCCAGTGACTGGTGAATGAAAAGACTCTTATTTTAGTGGGGAATTATACATCCCTATCAATAAGGAAGACTATTGCTTAATATTGGACACCAGAAATTAAAACAGAACATAAACTATACATACACCCATGGGTGTGTGCTCCATTCCGAGCACAGGTAATTTCAGTTAAAATAAGGCTTTGGTTTTCACTCTCCTTACCCAGATATCTAACATTCTATTTTCGCTTTCAAATGCTTAAATGATGGCTACATATATCTCAGTCAAAGCAAATTAAAGTGTGGGTTCTGTGAGATTTCCACCCAGTAGACATAGGTGGTGGCTAGGGAAGGCTTTTGTGAGGCAGTCTGAGAAGCACTGAGAATTCTTTCACGTTCTGGGGTTTGATTTCATGAGAGGACGAGAGCACCTAGATTGTAGGTGGCAGCGTCTAGTGCGGCACAATCACCAAGTTCTCCTTTGAGCACTTCAGCCTCACTGTGTCCTCACAGGCGGCAGAGGACAGCTGAGAGGTCTGCCGCAGGATGCACCTCATGCTTATAAAGATCTCAGCAGAGAGCCCGGAGCCCCAGAACCCAAAGGACTGCCCACGTGAGAGGGAAACAAAGCCTTGTCAACCCCTACTTTTTCCTTAATCTGTAGCAGGAAGAGGTCAGTTAATGAGGTAAGTTCAAATCTGGCCACGATACTGGCAAAAAAGCAGGGTGTGAAGGAATGGACTTCTCAGGACCTTGTCCCATGAGTGGTTATCTAAGACTTAATGAGCACCATCTGCCGAAACGGGATACCTGGGGAGACTGCAGAGATGAGACACCTAAATTGAATCATTCAAACCTCCAGAAAGGAAAATCTGAAAAATGATAGTGTTTGGATGAAATATACCTTCTTCCTCAGTTAAGCTAACTTCGCTTAATACTTTTTCACCAGACAAGTAGAATGTAGAAATGTTAAGAAAACCACAAAACACCTAAAAACAAACTTAAAGTAAATGGTAAAAGTTGTTATAAATCAAAAGACTCAAAGGTATTTTAAAATGTATTCTGGGAGCAATTCCTAATTACTGTTAGATTTACTTTTAAGTTTAACAGATGCAGATTCTTTATAGGCAGTGTATAGGCCTGTGGGCTATGAGAAGGTTGAAATATTACCTTAGCCTTGACATGTGATAATTCACCCAGCTATGACTCTTGATGTCCTATTTCTAAGTTGCTTTGTAAGTTCCTATTTTCTCAAAGAAAAGGCAGGAATGGAAAGTCACACTAGCAACTGACTAAGAGGCAGTAGGTGACACCGTGCTGTGTAAGCAGGTAAGCACGTCCTACTGTTCAGGCAAACCGCCATTTAGGAAATTGATAAATCTGCACTTGTAATTACTTTTACAGTGGTTAGATACACATTTATAGATGATCGAAAGACCATGGGAAAAACAAATTATTGTCCAAAAACTAAAAATCAATGAAAAAAATAAGTTTTCTAGAATCAGCATTTTTTTTCTGTTTTCCACATGTTTATTTGAGATGATGGGTGACCAAGCAGGAGAGAAAAGGGAAGGTGGTGATTCATGAGCACAAAGTTTAAATCACCTCACTATAAAAAAAATATACATATACATACCAAAAGAATGAAGAACATAAAGAACACAAATGTAGTGAAATAAAGTGGTCCCAAAACTCGGTTAGCTTCCTCAATCTCTGCGAAGTTGATATCACCCAAAATGATGCGGAACTGAGTGAAGCTAGGGAAACAAAACAGAACACAAGACAAAACCAAACAGTGTCCAGCTGCGGATGAACATGTGTTAAAGATGATTTCATATCTTTATGAAACGCCGGGACAGTCTGGGGAGTTCGGGAGAGCCGCCAAGAAACCGGAAACTGCCGGCCTCTTCAGGGAAGTCTTGCTACTTGAACTGTCAATTGATGATGCCTTTTAGTAACGTGGTTTCATATGATATATGTCATTTCTACTTCATATCAAACCTGATTATTAGATGATTTATAGAATAAGAATTTATAACCTGGGTTAAACCTGGTAACTCAAATCTTTATAATAGTCACACTTGGTACGAAGTTAACATATCTTTAAATAAAAACAACGATGACAAAACACATATTGAAAAATGGCCAAAATTGTAGAGTTCAAAGGTCCAGTTTTCTCACAGTCACTCAAAGTGAGGTCACAGCGGCTAGACACTATCAGTGACATCATTTCCTTTTTTGGCTTTCCTCAACAGCAAGACTAACTAGAGATCCCCATCCACAAGTCGCACTAACTCCCAGTTTCATGATCTACTCTTTCCCTAACTACCAAGTAACTTTGTGAATGGCACACAACTGTAATTCAGAATATTGTGGGTCTTTTTGTTTTGTTTTGATTTAAATTTTTTTTTTCTGGTATATTTGGGAACACTAAAAAAAGACTGAAGATTTGTGAACTGGTTTTAGTTTCTTCTACAATACTAGAAACATATTTTATCTCTTAGAGGTTGAAATTTAAGATACAAGGCAACGATATACAAGAGGAACGAAAATGCAGGGAAATGGCCTCCTTATGTGCGGAGAGCGGGAAGGAGGACCGAGCCCTAGGACGGAGCCCAGGGCTAAGCATGCCACCCATGTGTACCTCCCCTGCAAATGGCCATTTAACACCCCCACCTCTGCTGGGTGTGGAGAAGACCTTGGTCTTTGGAATAGTGCTATCCTTCTACAGTGGTTCCACTCTATCTCACTACTTGAAGATTGCTTCCCTAAGAACCAACATTTCCAAACACCGTGTTTTCTTTGGTCAGATGATGTTTGTAGAACAGGAATTCAATCTGTCTTTATTTTTAACATTTGCTAGTCAAATAGTGACAAGAATAATATTTTGGCGTTAGGAATGCTGTGAACTGATTAAACTTTATACATTTTAAAAATATTATTTGACAATTTCATACATTTATAGAAAAAAGAACCTTTTGTTTCATCTCATAGATACTTACATACATTCTTGGAAAGTACTGAAGTCATCAACTTGAGTGCCAAAGACAAGGTATGCCAGCTGAGCATAGGCCAAGAAAATAATGAAGAACATAATGGTGAAACCAAAGAGGTCTTTGGCACATCTGGACACGGTTGTGGAAAGCTGGCTCATAGTCCTGTTAAAGTTGATGAATTTGAAGAGCTGTAAAAGGAGAACATTGTCATTAGATGAGTGGATGATACAATGTGCTCTTCATATACAATGGAACTATTCTATCATAAGAGGGTATGGACTTTGTTACTGGCTATGACATGAACTTTGAAAGCATGCTAAATGAAGTAAGGCAGATGCAAAACCTCAAATGTTGTATGCCTCCACCTGTGAGGCACTCTGAATAGTCAAATTCACTGGGATAAGAAATACAATGGAAAGCCGGGCTGTGGTGGTGGTGCATGCCTTTAATCCCAGCACTTGGGAGGCAGAGCCAGGCTGATCTCTGTGAGTCTGAAGTCAGCCTGGTCTACAGAGCAAGATCCAGGACAGGTAACAAAACTACACAGAGAAACCCTGTCTCGAAAAAAATAAAAAATAAAAAAGAATACATTGGAAAGTTGATGTGCTGGGATATAGCATTTCCTGTTGGGATTACAAAAATGGTAATGTACAGCAGTGACAGATACAACACTGCTGTATGTATTTCATGCTTCTGGAGTACGCATATAAAATGGTGAAAATGGTACTGTGTAATTTTATTTATCATAGTAAGGAAAAATAGGTGAGATATTACTCACTTTTTGTCTCTTTCAAGTCTAGGAATATCTATCTTGCCATTCAAAAAAGTATTTGTTGAGTACCTAGATCATGCTAGGCCCTGTCCTCAGGGCTGGGAATGGAACAGTGTGAAGTATTTGTTGAGTACCTAGCTGTACTAGGTCCTGTCCTCAGGGCTGGGAATGGAACAGTATAAAGTATCTGTTGAGTACCTAGCTGTGCTAGGTCCTGTCCTCAGGGCTGGGACGACAGCGTCAGAAAGGGTAAGAAGGCAGTTTTAAGTCTTAGCTCTTAGCTACTGCTCTGACCTCTTGGGCTTTTAACTCTGCATTTGGCTCTGTTTCTTATTTAATAAGACTGTTATATCTACATTAGTGTAAAGTATTTGTTGAGTACCTAGCTCATGCTAGGCCCTGTCCTCAGAGCTGGGAATGGAACAGTGAGCAGAACAAAGCTTCTGCCTCATGTTGCTCACATCTTAAATCACAGTCACAACGTAGTAAAAAAAAAAAAAAAAAGTGTAAGTTCGATCGATGAATAAGTAATAACGTCTCCCAAAGGACTAAACCAGAAAATAGTTTTGTGCATCATTGTCATGTACCAAGTCCCACAATGTAGGGGTAACTTTGGGTAACTGCCTTCCATCTTCAGTAACATAAATACATAGATACTGGTATATTTATCCCTAGACACCAGACGGACTGGGAGGCACTGGGAGCCAGCCGAGCCCGATTGAGAAGCCCAGTGAGCAAGTGCCAAAGGATCTGAGTGTAGCCACGAAGACTGGAGCTCAGGAGGCAGGACAAGACATGCTAAGATGCATGCAGCTCACAGTAGACGGCTGTGTAGGGAGCACATGGGAGTGAGCGTTAGGAGTCACTGTTCCTGCCTGGAAGAATCCAATGGCCTTGTTTAAGAAGCAATGCAATACATAAGACAGCAACTCAAAATGCACATCAAGAGAGAAATCTTTAGAGTTTCACTTAATGGTCTTTTATGAACAGCTTCTGGACACAATAAAAATCTCTATAGGCTGTTATCATCAATATTAATCATTAATGAAATTCCTACTTTTTATTCACTCATTCTTTAGTGCTGGGTTGGAACCCAGGGCCTCCCATGTTCCAGCCAAGGCCTCTGCCACTGAGCAACTCCACCAACTCCAATTCCTACGAATTTTATGATAAAGTTTGGTGTGTTGCAGATGGCCTCTCTTGAACAAGTAATCAATGAATGACAACATGGGAAACGCAACGTGAAGTCCATGTTTTTGGTTAGCCCCAGGCCTTGCAGTGTCAGGGCCACTGTTGCTAGGTACCCACTCTGGAAGCTGCTTCTGAGAACTTGCCGTGATGGTCCTAAAACAGTCGCCATTAGCAACACATGGATAAAATGTGACTATGGGGACGGAGGAGCTGAGGTCTCAATTATATATTAAAAACTTCGTTTAAGTGCACACTGTCCGTGTGCTCAGGAGCACAGCACAGTCCCAGAACCCGGGCAGGTGGCACGTCGGTAGCTGCCTCAAAATGGCTGAAATTTTCTGTATGTCCAGAACTCAGGCTCACTGTTCATGAGATGCCCTGTCGTTTACACAGAGAATGAGTGGGAAAGTAACTGTTCAGAAGAGCAGCCTCAGCTGGGCAGAGCTTCCTCAGACCTGAGAAGGATCCAGGCAGCCAACATTGTCTCATCCACAGTTACAGGAAGGTTCACAGAAGCTGCCATCTACGTGATGAAAGCTATGCAACAACCTTGGCTGGCCGTGTCAACCTGGCCAATAAGGCAAATCCATGTCTTCCAATGGCCTGTGTGACTCATGTTTATATATATATAATATATAATATATAAATCACATATATACATATACTATATAAAATATGTATAATAAATACATATTAGTAAATATATACTATATATTACATATATAGTAAATGTATATGATGTATATATATAGTAAAATAAAAAATATGACATAAATTACCTTGATCCAGACCAAAAACACCATGACAGCAGCTATATTGTTGAACTGTATTTGCCAGTATGCCACATGCTCGAAGTTGGGGAAAGTGCTTCGATCTTCGAGAAACTGCAGCAGACCCTCTCCATTTGACAGTCGGTAAATGTTAACTACCACAGCTATTACAGATAACTGGAAGACAAAAGATTTATTGTCATTACATCACTTTAGAAATAGATAATCCACTCTAAAATGACTAGTTTTCCCCATTGATGTATGGATTGGAGGACTGACCATATTCCTCACCCAATAGCACTCACCAAAGGCATCAGCTAAAACATGAAAACAACATACAGCTTACATCCCCCTAGGGACAGAAATCAACTGAAAATATGTGAGGGGTGTACATCCATGTACACAGAGGAACTCATACAGTAACAAGCTCAAACGCACAAGGGAAGGCTTTCTGCCCAGCCGCCCATCACAGCTAAAGGACCAGACTCAACCTGTTTCTCAGGCAGGAGGGCTTCCTACTGAGTCCTATACCTTCTCCTGCTGGGGTTCCTATTTTCTTTGCTCTTGCATGCTCTGAAAATGTCAGCTGAAAGGGGTGAGGGGCCCTTTCGTTGTTAAAGCAAATCCAATAATCTTTTATTTAAATCTCAGACAATTTATCATCCAGTCAAGATGTCTTTAATATAAAGAAAACCAGTATCACATTCACACATCGACTTTCTTTGAGTTTTCTTTCAAACTAGGGAATGAAGAAAGGAAAAGAGATCTTTTTTTGTGAGTATGCTTATTGTTAAATCACAACTTTTTTTCTTCGAAATTCTCATTTCTAGCTACAAAAACAACAACAACAACAACAACAAAACCTTTCTCCCAAACCAGAACATGGCCTTTAGGCTGTCTTGTATATCCCTGCATCTCTAAGACCTGGAACACAGCTCAGGACTGGTATGTCGTCTTTGCTAAATAAATGACTTCACTCAGTGAAGCTAAGCCATCAACATTATTTGAATTTAGACTTCGAAAGTTTTTTGTTTTTTGGTTGTTGTTTCCACACACACACACACACACACACACACCCCCCCCCCCCCCCCCGGTAATTCCGAAAGATAATTGGCTAGGACCCACAGCTAGCTGACTGGCACCAGCCTGGAGGCTTCCATGTATTTGCTGGAGAAACAAAACACAAGGAACTATCTCCACGGGATTTTGAGATGTTGGGTTTTTTTCAGGTGGCCTTAATTTTCAGCTGCATAAAACACAAGCCCTGGCACTCTTGCAGAGCTTTCCTGACCCAGGGAAGCAAGCCGCACCAGCAGGGATGCCCTTCCCTCCAAAGGAGACACAAAAGCCCAAGCTTCTGAATCCAGTCCTGGCAGCACTTAGGTTCAAGCAGAATTAAAAGCTGGAGGAAGGGATGGGTGGTGGTGGCCCACGCCTTTAATCCCAGCACTTGGGAGGCAGAGCCAGGTGGATCTCTGTGAGTTCAAGGCCAGCCTGGTCTACAGAGTGAGATCCAGGACAGACACCAAAACCACACAGAGAAACCCTGTCTCAAAAACAAAACAAACAAACAACAACAAAAGCTGGAGGAAATAAACCTTCAAAGAGATGCTTGCACAATGCTATGGCTGTGGGGGAGGGAGCCACCTTTGACTTCTATGTCAGAAACTAAGAGCCCAGGGGTCCCCAAAGTGTGTGTGTGATGCAGTTCACTGGTGTGGGAGGAGAAAGCCTGACATGATCTGTGGGTGGGTAGGTGGTTAGAAAGTGTATTAGTGGTTTGAAGAGGTGATAAGCAAGCCAGTTTGATATGAAATATGAACATGAACCCCTGAACTATATAATACTATACACTTTTCTTGATAGACTTTACAAACATTTTTGTAACATGTAACACACATGTTTACGGTCTATATAGGAAGTAGAAATATAGCCAAATGTTAAAACTAGAACTCTACTTACTTGTATCTTTTTAATTCTGTGCAGGTCTTTGTTTCCATGGCTATACCTGTTACACCTCTACACACACCACAACTGAACACATTCAGAAAATTAGGGTACACAGTTAACTTTTTCACTGATCGGCATTTGAGATTTAAAATGTTCACTGTTGACTAGTTTGGGTAATATGGAAACTACTTGGTTAAAAAAAGTCTGTAATTAATTACCATATAGCACTTGCTTTTTTACAGTTCTATGCCCATCAACCTGAATATAATTATATATAAGCTAAAAAGCAACTTTATACCTTAAAGCTTTTGTTTCCTAGAATAATTTGAATGTGTATGATCGGGACTCGGCCATCACCAGTACAGAAATATTCTGAAACATAATTTCCACACCTGTCTCCTTGTTTCCGTTAGTACTAATTTTTTTTGTAACCTTACTCAGTATTAATACTTTAGTAATGTGTGGCTTAAGTAACTGCCTTGTCATGTGTAACCATGTGATGTTATAAGAACACCGTGAAGTGGGGAGGCGCCAGCATCCACTGGGCCACCATGAAGGGGGAGGAGCCGGCATCCACTGGGTCACCATGAAGGGGGAGGAGCCGGCATCCACTGGGTCTCAGGCTGTATTTTGAAAGGACGTTCATTTCAAGTGGAAGCACTTTCTGAAGCACACATGTACGTGACTCCGTTAGGAGGGGGCAGAGTAAATGAGAGAGCCAGATTAAGGATTTAACAAGCATTTCTCTGTGAGAAGTACTTGGGAATGTGCCAAACACACATGGGTCCTAAGGTCTAAGCCATTTTCCTATTATTATTATCAATGGTGCTAATACCCCTGTTGCCATGCAGTACCTGTCCACACGGTTCTTCCTCGTGTCTTAAGTTTTTGTTCCTTCACACATGAACAGCATGTTCTCTGTTTTATCAACAAATTCTAATGGGCAATACCTGATAAAGATTCAATACGTGGTTCACAAAGGCCTAGTAATTTCAACTTGGAGTGAGGAAAGACTACTGTCAGGGCAAGGGCCGACAGGAGAAGCTCAGTGGTTAGTGCGGTCCTCCTGAGAGCCAACTGGAACGGTGAGACTGGGAGGCAAGGACACACAATGACACCGGGGCACAGCTGTGCCCAAAGACGGCTCAAACATATGACAATTAGTCACACTGATACACACTTCAAAATACAAGAAGACAAAAGCGTCTATGCTGCTGAAAAAGGAAAAGCTCAGAGAAATGAATTTTTACACCGAGGGCTCTGGAAGGAGGCAATGGATATGACTGACGGATACCGTTTAAATTCTGTTCCCTCTGGCTGTGTGACAGGACTTCCAAACAACAGGATGTCTTCAGCATTACACAAAAATTTCCAGGCTGTTTCTTCTTGTCATAATTTGATACTTGCAAAACAATTAATTTTCACTAGCAGAAAAGTATTACAACCCCCCCCCCCCCCGCGGATAGTTTTAGTCTACAAATCTTCTATGACATACCAAAGGTAAATTTAATTACTTATTTGTATGATTAAGTCAGGGTTCAATAAAAACAACCCCATTATAATCAGGAAGGTTTCTCATACAAAGTGAGAACTACAAAATTGTAACACAGACGTTAATATAAACGTTTAGATTTTCTAATAGAAATACCAAGATTACCAACACTGAGATTAAAGGCAGCAAGTTAACAGGCTTTGGAATACAGACAGGAAACGAGGGAGTCAGGGCTGGGATGCCGGCTTTCCTCTCCAACCTACCACAACAATCACAACATCCAGACAATTCCAGAAACTCCTGAAATAGTGTAGTCTGTGAATCCGAATCTCCAGTATCTCTTCCACCACATAGTAAAGGATAAAGAAACAGAAGATAATCTCACAGGCTGCCAGGAAGAAATCAAAAGCTGTGACGTAGCGGATCAGTTTTACAGGCTGGAACTGCCAAGAGGGCACCACGCCGCCTGTGGCTGGGAATTCAACCAATAACCTGCATTGCAAAAAGAACAGTTAACACCACAATGTATGCTAGACCTAGGAAAGGAAGTACGTCTGCTCTGTTCCTGTACTATTGAAGTGAAAACCACTGCCACTGCATGCTACCTCAAGCTGGGAAACATGTATGATCTGGGTGGAAACAGGGCATGCACTTCACAACTATAAAACATGGGGCTACCTCATGTATTCAGTTACTAAGTAACATCTAATCAGTCTTCAGTTTGCTAGTTCCCTTCCCTTGAAGGCTGTGTATCCAAGACACTCAATACCCACCTGCTGCGTGGAATAGACCGTCCCTCTTTTATATTAACACAGCACTGGTTTTCACTACATTCCTAACTGAACTGTGCAGGTTCATGGTGTGAAAGTTCAGTGATCCAATAAACAGAAGTTGTGGGAAGGCTGGAAGGCTGAGTCAGGAGATGCCAGCCCACCATCCAGGGAGCAGCATGTAATGTCACACTGGTAAAGCCACGGAACACATGGCAACATACAGATTAACGAAAATGGGCTGAGTTCAAGTGTAAGAGCTAGTCAGTGGTAGGCCTGAGCTAATGGTCGAGCAGTTTTAATTAATATAAGCCTCTGTGTGTTTTCTTGGGTCTGAGAAGACCAGGCGGGACACAGGAATTTATAAGTGGCTGTGGGACCTTGGTGCTGGGTGAGCATAGGAAAATTTCAACTAGAAGAACCACCTTCCACATAACTAGAATGTAGTTTCAAAAGCCCCCAGTCACATGGCTGGTATCATAATGCCCTCCACCACAGGACAATGGCCAAACCTAGAACCCAAGCTTCTAAGACACACAGAGGCTCCAGTATTGACCAGGTCAAACCCAGGACTCTGGAAAATGGAAATTCTTGTCAATTCCCTGTCAATTTCCCTATTTGATGTCAAGCACCAGAGACAGGCAGAATAATTCTAAAAGTAATGGGTGTCATTTCAGCCTTAGTGTGAACAAGGCAAGGGGCCCCTGTGTGTCAGAGTCCCTATGTCCCACTGGGTCTCTGAGCTTCTTAACCACCTAGGAACTTAAAAAGAAATGGAGTAATGGCCCTGACGGGGCCACCTTTGAATTCTAGGGATGAAGTGGAAAAAAATTAAATTAAATTTAAAAAAAGCAAAAACAAAAACAAAAAAACAAAACAAAAAAAAAAAAAAAAAAAAAAAACCACACTGAAGACATCCTGAAATAAAACATTTCCTAGTCTGCTAGAGTTGCCTGCCTATTAGAATCCTCTTCAAATCAACACTGGGATCATTATGAAAAGCTTAGTGGCAATTATAATCAATTCTCATTCATTTCTAATAAGATGTACTTGGTTTAAAGAGGTATGTTTATGTTCAGCAAAAGTTGATAAATATAAATACCAGCAAAGTCTAACTACCTGTTAAATCAGAGTTGAATTTAATGTGAAAATTACAACAAAATCCTAATATTATGAGAATATATCCTGACTTCCCGTGGAAATCTACGTGCAGATGACCAACGTGAGTAATCTGGGGGTGTTGCTGATGTGGCATGATGGGTGAACACTGACTAACTCTTACCTTGCTCTTACATTTTATTTTAAATAGCACTCACTATTTACAACACTACATGACTTGTTTCTTCTGTTTATCTTTGCTGAATACAAGCTTTCCAAGTGCAGGGATCTTTGTTTTGTTCTCCGACATACTCAAATAGCCGAAAACAGTATCCAGCACCCATACGTCCAAGAGCAGCTGACGGAAGGCAGAGTAAAGCCAGGCACCAGGACCTCTGTCACAGTTTCCCACAGTGGCCAGGGCAGCAGCAGCAGAGCCTACGCCTGGAACCTGGGGTGTCCCACAAAAGTGGGGACACTCAGGGAGAGGAGCCGAGGCTGAGTGGCCAGAGGTCTTGGTGACAAGGGGTGGCCATCCTTATAATGGCCAAAGATAATGGTTAAAAAAAAAAAAAAAAACACAAAACAACAACAGAAACCTTCCTACAGTGCTTTGACTGGACAGGATCTGGAAATGGGATAAACTTGACCAGACTTAAGGTTCTTTCCAAGTCATAACATTCCAGGATCTTAAATCCCTTCTGCAAATATCCATTTTACTGAGTTACCCCCTTCCCTTGGTCTCAGCCCTGATTCTTGGTACCCTCCCTTAGCCAGCTGCAAAAAGGGTTTCTCTAGTGCGTCTCCAGAAATGGCTGTGCAGATTACTACCCACACAAAGGATGGCTACAAGCCCACGGTACACACCTGACCACACAGAACAGGTTAATGTTCGCGTTGTACACTGAAAAGTCAATGAAAGTTGCTCGGGTCCCCCGGTCCAGCCAGAAGTTTCTCCTGAGGCCAGCAATCTGAGCAGCTGTTTCCTCCCTGGTTCTGGAAAGATCCAAGTAATAGCCTGCTCCACTGTACGTGGCAATGATTCCCCAGTGGCTGCTCCCATTCAAGTCCTTTTCACTCGTGTAGACCCACCTAATTAAAATAAAAACAACAGGTCAAATTAGGGAAAGACTTGTCACAGCTTGGAAGACAGTTGCTGCCTGCTGGGATAACGTATGTATAAAAACGGTGTGCTTGGAAAAACGTTTCTATTTCTTTTCCTAGTGAATTCTCACGGCTACTGTTTGGTCTCAGTTTGGTAAGGAGGGCCCCGAGGCTTCGTAAATTTGATTTATTCCCAATGTGTTTGAGCTCAAGAGTCTAGAACCCACACTAGACCCGTCTGTCCACAGGGCCTATACCACCAAGTCCTCCCATACCTTTTCTGATGCCTGATTTGAGGTTTACATCCCTCAAAGGCCCCAGTGAAAGCTGCGGACAAGAGGGGCATGGGCACTAAGTCACCCACTGTCTCTCCTTGCTTCCTAGGACACGAGAGGACACCTGTCTCAGAGGTGTTCTGTAGGTGGGATGAGATACATTACAACAGGGCCTGGCACAGAGTAGCTGCACCGATGTCTCTTATCGATGGCGTGGGGCAAAGCAACCGTCCAAAAAAGGAATTAGGAATCTCTATGCCAGCACTCATATGCTGGCGGGAGTTAGATAAACATGAGGGAAAATAAATGAAAAGAGACAAAGAAATAAAACAGGATGGGAACAGTGTGAAGGAGTAATCTATTTTAAAGATTCATTCATTCATTCTTTATTTGTGTGTGTGTGTGAGAGAGGGGGGGAGAGGGAGGGAGGGAGGGAGGGAGGAAGGGAGGGAGGAAGGGAGTTAGTTCATGTGTGTCATGTGCATGCAGGCACCCACAGAGGCCAAAAGAGGACATGAGGTCATCCCCTTAAACTGGAGGTGCAGGTGGTTGTAAGCCTCCTGGGAAGAGTGCTGGGATCCCCACCTGTGTCCTCTGCAAGAACAGTATGTGCTCTTAATCAATGAACCATTTCTTCAGTACCCCTAAGTCTGCACTTTAAATAATTACATTCTGAACAAAAACAGATTCGTAAGAACTACTAAAATGAATTAGTGGATAATCTTGTTTGTCCTAAAAAGATAATACTGAAGCATCTTACAACCTCTAAAGGCTTGGATCACTTCATTTTCTTGGGTTATATGATCGGCTGTGGGAGCCCACAACAGCTTCCTAGTGAGATCTGAGCTTGCTTTACACAGCAGGGCTGCATTAGGGGATGGCTTGGCCACATGCGTGGTTACAAGGTGTCTGGGATGGTCTGCATTTGGCTGTGCTGGGGGGGAGGTCTTTTGCTCCACCCTTTGGCATTCCTTTAAAAGCCCTTTACCAGTGACAGAAGGGGCTGCTGGGTTTTGACCCAGGCCCTCCCAAGCTATCCTGTGTTTCTAACTGTCTCTCTCTCCCCTCTATATTTCTATCTAAATCTCTTACCCCTCATTCCTTAAGAGTCGCTGGAGTAAATAAATGTGGGAGCTGGTCCCCCACAATCGACAAGTCAGTCTTTTTGAAATGTGCATCTAGAAACATCAGAGAAAATGAGGAGAAAAGGTCAACTTGACCCAGGCCCATTAGAGGAATCTTTCTGTCTGAGAAGGAATAAAGAATGAATGCCACCCACTGGACATACGGCACAGACACTTACGCAGTTCCGTTTCGCGGTCCAAATGGAGCCCTGTCCTCACTGCTGACAGAGTAGACATCATAGCACTCTTTAATTTCATCTCTCAAGTCCTGAGGAATGGAGCAGGATCCGTTTCTGACTCTGAGTTGGCGCAGACGAGGCACTCCGAGCAGCAGGTTCTCATAGAAAATGAAGCTTCGGTTATCAGCTAGTGTGTGGTTCCCAGTCTGTGCCTTCCAGTACAGCCCATCCAGGAAGGCGCCTTCTGTGAACTGAAACAAAGAATTCTGGATAGGTTCTGAACTCAGACGCTGGCTGGCTTCTGCTTGGAGGATATGTATAACCCAAACGTCACCAAGGCTTTGAGCAAGGAGAGCAATAAGCACAGGCCACGTGGTCAGAAAAATCTGGATCTGGATCTTGCTGTCATTTGCTAGGTGTGGGGCCTTGCGTAGGATTCCCTAAGCTGGGCTCCCACATTTCGGAAATTCATCTTTTTCTGGTCAGGACACCTGGCACAATATCAGTGTACTCTGACTTCTGTGCTGGGACTAATGACTGAGAGAAGCATGTTTCATAAATACACAAAGACCATTAACTTTGCTTTCCCTTAGAAAAAACATAACCCAGAAACCTATAATCCCGCATAACCCTAACTCTGGAATGAAAAGGTAAGAGTGTCAATTACCTTCTGTACTGGATCTTTTTCTACCTGGATTGTTTTGCTACACGTGGAGTCCTTCTTCAACCCTACCCCTCCTCTTTGTGGCTGGTGTTTATTATCATGAAAAGGTACATGTGAAAAGTTTCATGTTGGGACAAAAGGCTCTTCCGCAATGGAGAACAGAGGTGGTCATTTCTCCGTGCATTACCAGGGCATCCACATAGACCTGCCACACTGAGCAGGGCCACGGTCAGTATTGCACAACTGTGGGGTGTTTGTTTGTTTGTTTGTTTGTTTGTTTGTTTTTGAGCTAAGGATCGAACCCAGGGCCTTGCGCTTGCTAGGCAAGCACTCTACCACTGAGCTAAATCCCCACCCCCTTCAACTGTGGGTTTTAACGACAAGTGTTCTTACATATTAAAGGTTGCAGTGGCCCAGTTTTCTCTATGCCTGAAACCAAGACCTCTGGCTTCAGAGATTAATAAGAATTTCCCACATTATTTCTCCTGGGAGAAACAATAATTTCCTTTTAAATTTCCCCTCCAATTTTCCAAGGTTCTGAGCAGCACACCATCTGGACTGGCTTAATCACTGTCCTATGTTACTCAGTGCTTTTTGTTTGCCAGTTGGAGCTTAGAATTGAGGAGAAGGCTACGTTGAATTTTACAGGGGCAGACCTTTGAAATGTGTCCATGTCTTATTAGGAGTTGGACACATTCTTGGAGGTGAGGGCACATACCACTGTCAACAGAGACACGAATCACAAAAAGTAGAGCAGCGTTTGGCACCCAAACTGCCTACTTGGGACTTGTGTCATAGGACATTCTCAGTCATCATTTACAGAATCATGCATGACCAAGGGAACAGTAAGCTATAATGAAGCAGCAATCATACTTAAAAAGAAAAAAAAAAAAATCCAGGTCTTTTCTTCTCTAGCCATGTGACCATACACAGGTAAGCACCCTGAATTTCACTTTACAAACTGGGGCATGCGTATTATTATGTACCTGATAAGATCACTAAAGGAATTTAAGAAAGGTGTAAAACATTCAGCTCTGTGAAAAGTGCTTTCAATGTTCTCAATAAATACCAAAAGGAACAGGAACTCTACATGACTTAATATAATTCACGACTCCTGAAGATACTTATGAGTTGAAATTATGATACCAAATGGGTAATTTTCATAGACAAGGAAGTACCTTGTCATTTGTAAATGTATTAGTCATTTGTAAATACCTTCCAGAAGTCCTCCATCGAAGAAAGAGTTTTAAAGTTAGTCTTCTCTGTTTTAGACACTGGGGTGTCTATGAAAAGCTGTGACAATGTCCGCGTGTAGTAGTACACATTGGAACTCATCATGCCATAGGTCACTGGAACACAGAAAGAATCGAGTGAGCATCAAGAGGGACCCTACACACACATCTGCAGAGCCAGCAGCCTCCAAGAAGGGACTGTGCCTGGTAGGTGGACTTTTGGATGGATCAGTGTTCACATAAGGTCATCTCTCCCCTCTGCCTCCCTCTCCTGCCAATACTCCAGGTTATCCCCATCTCTCTGCTTACATAAGAAACATGCAGCTTCAATACTGGCCTATGTGAGACAAAACAGGCCCAATACTGAGTACTGAACTGACTTCCAATGGGAGTATTGTTTGGCCTCCTACTCTTCCCTGGATCAGCCCCTGAAGCTGTTGAGACTGCTGTGTTCAGAAGCCGACACATGCTTTGGCATCTCCCCAGTCGGCATTTGTCTGTCTTCTCCCCCATACACCCCAGCTCCTACTTAATTCTCCCAGATCAATTCTTCCTCCCTGTCCTCTCACAGCTCTGAGACTAACCTCCACTCACTTAGACACCTGAGACCTCTGTTCCTTTGTGCATCAGGGGAGACAAACCTATTTTGGCCCTGGAGCCCTGTGCTCATCTCATCTTGATGCAAGCTGGCAGAGGATCCTCTAGCCTTGGCCACAGCTGTGGGGAGACTCCTTACCAACAACCATATTGCTCCCTCCGTGGTCACCTATGCCTACAGGTGGTAACCTTTCCCAAGGGGGTCTCCTCCTCTGCTGGTCCCTTAGCCTGTCATGTCCTTATAAACGGCCCCTTCATTTAACTTGCTTTAATTACTACTGTGGATTGCTATCTGCCTCCCACATGTCACTCAAATCCCAGATGGAACACTGCAATCCAGGTGATGGCCCCACTGTTAGCATTCATGGATCGTAATGGATGGACCATGGAGGAGGCAGGATGACAGCCCAAAGGCGTAGAGTCTCATTGCTGGTCAGGTTTCTTACTTCCTGAGTAGCTGTTTTTACTCTGCGAGGTACAGAACAAGAACAGCTTCATTCCTGTTCCATAAGTTGTGATAATTAGCTACCCTACAGGACTTATGGGTGCTTTATAAAAATAGCTCAAACCTACTTAGTACAGGGATAACAGTCACGAAATGTCCAGTCATGCTGACTTCTCCTTTCTAACTGGTGTGCTACAAAGCATCTATTAGAAACCCGGGACTTCCGAGCCAGCTGGGCGGTGCAGTAAGTAAAGGCACTTATCACACACCCCTGGTGAGCGGAGAAAACGGGGGTCCTTTGGCCTCCACATGTGCACCACGGCATGCCTACTTCCATACACACATCACACACACATTTTGAAAATTAAAGCTTTTAGCACTTTAGCAAGTACTGTTTTATGCTGGAATTATTATGACCACAGGTGTAATGTGCTAGAATTCCTATGCTTTGCTAAAGACAAAAAGCTTCACGAAGAAGGAATTCGTTTTCTGTATTTTTTTTTTTTTTTTTTTTTTTTTTTGTTGTTGTTGTTGTTGTTCTTGTTCTTGTTGTTTTGTTTTTCGAGACAGGGTTTCCCTGTGTAGCTTTGCGCCTTTCCTGGCTCTTGTTCTGTAGACCAGGCTGGCCTCGAACTCACAAAGATCCGCCTGGCTCTGCCTCCCAAGTGCTGGGATCAAAGGCGTGTGCCACCCCTGCCCAGCTCATTTTCTGTATCTTTTGGCCACAGTGATGAACACACAGATTATTATTTCCTGATTCTGTAATAACTTGTATTAAACTAATTTTTCTTAAATGATTGGTAAACCTGTCACCCTTGCCCTTCTATTATCAAGCAGCATATCAAATTAAGATCATTAAAGAAGAAATGTAGTGATAATAATCCAACATGAGTGTGTTTGAGAATTCATCTCAAGTAATCACTTCAGCAAAAAAATTAACAGAAACCCACAGTCTGTGCACTTGTATACAGAGTATATTAAATAACTTCTAGTCCCTCAACCCACCCTTCTATGATCTAATGTATTTAGAATATGAACAACATTCTTCATATGATACCTGACCAACTTCTCACTTCAACACCAGACTGATCCTAGTTCAGGATTTGGAATTCTAATCCATTCAATGGGACAGATATTAGACATGAGTATTAACAAGGAGTGACCTCTCCCTCCGAACACGGGACTCCTATGTCCTCAGAAAGTGTGCTGCCCGGCCACCTCACCTCCACAGAGGGATGGATAGAGGCACAACGCCCTGGGCAGCAATGCCTGTAAATTCGTCAATACAAGGGACAGAGGAGATAAAAAAAAGTGATGGTGGAAGAGCCTCACAGTCAACCTAATAAATGATTAGGTTGGTTACTTTCAATTAGTGTGAAGTTAGGTGTGCTTTGGGGTACAGGTGGGGTGTTTTACCTACTGGTCACTGTTGGAAATGATTTGTGATGGGTTGAAATTGTAGACATCTAAACATGGTATAGACACCACCTTGAAAGGTGTCTCCTTTGTCTCCCATTAGCCTTCAGACCAGACACTGGCGTTTGCTGCTGAAATTCTCAGGATCAGTATTATCTTTCACGGCTTCATTCAGAGGGAAGCAAAATTCCACTATTTGTGTTGCACCCTCTGCTGGACATCAGAAATGATGCTTCTAGCACTGAAGGACTAAAACTGTCCGGCCACCATGAACTATTTCTGAACTGTGTCAGGATACAGCTCTGACTCAGGTATCTGGAGCAACATTTCCACATATGCCCAAAGCAGGAACAGTGTGGGTACATGTCAGTGGCAGCTCATCTCAACATCAGACAGTCTGGGTGAGAATCTCAGCCAGGTTCCACAGAGTATCTGCCTCTGGGCTCACAACAGAGGGTGCTGGTGCCCCAGATCTTGAACAGCTATAACTAACCTTCCTGAGCGTGAACTTGAAAAAGAGCATAATCACACTCTAAATGAACTGTGATGAGAACACCACTGTGTGAAACATATACACTTAAATGGAGACTGGAAAGGAAGATAAACATACACTTATATGATACTAGGTAATGGATATGTAGGAATGTGCGTGCCTGTGTGTGTGTGTGTGTGTGTGTGAGAGAGAGAGAGAGAGAGAGAGAGAGAGAGAGAGAGAGAGAGAGAAAGAGAGAGAGAGTAGCATGTACACATATTCCACCTGCCATTTCTTCTCTTAACCCTTCATTTTCCATTTTTCCAAAAGTCAGAACAAAATACATTAATACACAGGCTACTCTTGAACACACTGACACAGGAGAAAACTTCCTGAACAGAACCAGTAGCCCAGGCACTAAGATTGGCAATTAATAAATGGGACCTCATGGAATTGAAAAGCTTCTGTAAGTCAAAGGACACTGTCAATAACACAAAAAGGTAACCTACAGAATGGGGAAAGATCTTTACCAATGCCACATCTGACAGGGATCGGATTTAAAAAAATATATAAAGAACTCAAGAAAGTAGACATAAAAAAAACAACAACAAATAAACCAATTTTAAAAATGGGGCACAGATCTAAACAGATAATTCTCAATACAGGAATCTCAAATGGCCAGTAAACTTAATGAAATGCTCAACATCCTTAGCCACCAAGAAAATGCAAATAAAAATGACTCTGAGATACCATCTTACACCTGTCACAATGGCTAAGATAAAAAATACAAGTGACAGCTTATGCTGGAGAGAATGTAGAGCAAGGGGAACACACCTCCATTGCTGGTGGGAATGCAAACTTGTACAGCCACTATGGAAATCAATATGGTGGTTTCTCAGAAAATTGGGAATCGATCTACCTCAAGACCCAGCTATACCAATCTTGGACATATACCCAAAGGATGCTCAATGATATCACAAGAACACTTGCTCAACTATGTTCATAGCAGCTTTATTCATATTACCCAGAAACTGGAAACAACCTAGATGTCCATCAACCAAAGAATAGATAAAGAAAATGTATATTTGCACCATGGAGTATTACTCAGCTGTTAAAAAAAATAACACCATGAAATTTGCAGGTAAATGGATATAACTAGAAAAAAAAATCATTCTGAGTGAGGCAACCCAGACCCAGATAGGTAAACATGGTATGTACTCATTTATAAGTGTATATTATCTGCAAAGTAAAGGATAACCAAGATATAATCCATAGAGCCAGAGAAGCTAAGTCAGAGGGAGGGCTCAAGGGAGGACTACTGAATCTCCCTGGGAAGGGGAAATAAAATAGATATCACAGGTGGAGGTGGGGGGACGGGAACAGGTAGAATCAGGTTGGGGGAGGATGGAGGGAGAGAGTAATGAAAGAGACGACTGGAATTGGGGGCATCTTGAGGATAAGCTAGAAACCTAGTGCAATGGGAACTCCCAGGAATCCACAAGGGTGACCCTAGCTAGGACTTGAAGCAATGAGAGAGAATCAGAACCTGAACTGGCCATCTCCTGTAACCAGGCCAGACTTCCGGTGGAGGAATTGGGACCCCAGCCCAACCACAAAACCTCCAACCTACAATTTATCCTGCCTACGAGATGTGATAGTTCAGGTGGTGCGGTCATTGTGGAGTGGCCAAACAATGACTGGCCCAGCTAGAGACCCATACCACAAGGAAGCCCACCCCGAGACTGCCTGGAGGGCCAGGACCTAGAGGCTAGACAGCCCAGAGACCTGGGACAGAAGTAAACACGAGTGTGTGTGTGTGAGGGGGGACCACCACAGGTTATCAAACATGCAGCGTGTAAACTAAGAGAAGCTGCCTTGAAAACAATGACGAGTTAGCCAATGATACTATTTTATTCATTGTTGAGAAACTATAAGCTTAAACATTAAAAAAAAAATGCCATATAGCATAGAGTTCCATCTACTGCATTTATTTCAATGGCTGGAAGCAAAAGAAAAAATTCTAATTTCATGAAAGAAAAAGAAAAATGTAAAGTTGACAGGAAAACATAAACAAAGCAAAACAATGGAAATCTGGCAAAACCATGAAATCTGAATGTGTTAACCTCTTACTAGGAAAAAAGGGCTTTAAAATAAAAAGTAACTTATGAATTTTTTTCTAAGAAACCTACTTCATATAAAGTTAAAGAATGGAGGGACATTTCACATTTGCTACAAAAGCTTAGAGACCTTACTTCAATCTTGGTCCCACGTGACACTGGAAAGAGAACCAACTCGATCAAGTTGTCCTCTGATCCCTATATGCAGCCACAGCTAACACCAGCGCATCACATCGTGCACACAACAATAAATGTTTTCCAAAAAGAGTAAGGTGACACGCTGCTTACTTCGTTTTTGTCAACTTGTCACAAATTAGAGTCACCTGGGAAGAGGGAAACCCAAGCAAGGGATTGCCTCCACCAGACTGTCCCGTGGGTATCTGTGGGTGACTGATGTGGGAGGGTCCATCCCCCTGTGGGTGGTGCCAAACCCGGGCAGGTATAGGGGAGGCTGCCGAACAAGTCAGAGGAAGCAAGTCGGTAAGCATTGCCCTCCTCAGTCTCTGCTTCAGTTCCTGCCTCCAGCTCCTGCCCTGGCTCCCCTTGATGATGGACTGAAAGCTGTAATAGGAAACCAACCCTCTTCTCCCCGGGTTGCTTTGTGGAGATGAAAACACAGCAACAGGAAGTGACAGCAGTTACCTTACGAGGGAGATCAGAAAGTGAGCACCGGCTCAGAAGAGAAGATTAGTCCATACTGATCGATGCCGTCAACCATGACGTCACTCGCATAAATTCTTAGGTGTTAAATAACACGTTATCAAGACGCATGAAACGATACATGTAGTATGAAAATAAGCAAAATCACATGGGAAACTCTAAAATGACAGACTTCTGTTTAAGCGAAAACACAAAGTAAAACCTCCTAAAACAAGGATAACAAGCTTAAGCAGATAAAACCTTTACATAATAAACTAGCTAACAAAAAGGAAGACACGTGCATATTAAATTAAATCATTTAGCAATTTTAAAAACTGCTTAGAAAATCGTAACTGTCACAGAAGGTAACTACACCAGGTGCAAAGACAGCAGAATCAAGATGCCTCGGTCCCAGAATCTACTGCTGCACAGGAAACTTAATTTTTTTTTTTTATATATCTCTGTCTCACACCATATGTTCTCCTGGGATACAATATGAAACTCTACTTGAAGGGACTCTCTATAAATGCACAGTGCTAAGTATACATCAAAGAGTTACTAAGTTTGAACTGGTGGAGCTGCCATCAACTCACAGGAAGTTCTCCGAACTAGTGAACGAGAAAACCAGTAGGAAGTTGTCTGAATTAGTGAAACGAGCAGGAAGAGGAAACGGAAGCGAGTAACATGCGAGCAGTGAGGAGCAGCTCCGCACACAGCACCGCGGAGTTGCAGATATTCCTCTACGCTGTGTGAAGTCGTGTCCCTGTGATTGGTGTAATAAAAAGCTAAATGGCCAATAGCTAGGCAGGAGGTACAGGAGGGACTTCCGGACAGAGAGAGCTCTGGGAAGAGGAAGGGCAGAGTCGCCAGACAGACATGGGAAAAAAGCAGGATGAGCATAAAGGAGATAACCAGCGTGGAAGAAAGTAGATTTTTAAAAAAGAGTTAGTTAAGTTATAACAGCTAGTTAGAAACAAGCCTAAGCTAAGGCTGAGCTTTCATAATTAACAATAAATCTCTGTTATTTTTGTGTGTGTGTGTGAGCTGGCAGCCCAAAAACAAAGTCCCTCTTCACTGAGGTGCACAGGACAGCGTCTACCCCCTAACCCCCAACCTCCAGCTCCCCACCCCACCCCCCACTCCTTCCTTCCCTCCCAGCATGACAGATGCAGGGGGCCAGTAAGAATAAACCAACCCAGAGATTTCTAAAATGAACAAGAAAACACAACTGGTTGTGTAACTTCTGTCAGGTTCTCAAGCTCTTCACCTTGGGTTTATGTCTTTGGCCTTGTTTGCAAACTTACTCCATCTGAAAACTTACTTTTTCTCATATCGAAGAAGCTCTGCTTTAGTTGACCTGGTACGGGTATAATTTTTTTTAAGTTCTTTTGGCAACTGATGCTCAATCTGGTTGATTACTCAAATTCTAGGCTTACTTTGCATTGGAAATATGCTTACATATGTGATGTTTGAAAATGCTGAGTAGTTCTAATGGACATGTTAATGTGAAAGCCAATGTGGTTTAATATTTAAGCACTGTCTCTGTGTTGGAAACAAACCCAATCTCAGTGTTCTGTGCTCGAAGGGCTAAGAATATGAAAGTCTGAAACATTCCATCTCCTGCTTCCTGAATTTCAGTGTAATATGCACATGACTTCCAGCTTTAGCATTTTGGTGTTAGAAGCCATGTCTTTAAACAGGTCACATCGTGAATATAAGGAATGCAACATGCTGAGCTCCCAACACTACAGTGGTGGCTGCCAGGGCTGGAAGGAAGGCAGGTGGTAGTCAAAAGACACAACCCTCCAAGTCAGCAGAGCCCCGCGATGTAAAACCCAAGAGACGGTGATGGGAAAGAGGCCGGCATCAGCCCACTACTGAAACAATCAGGGCGAATTCTCAGATGATAGAAATGCTCTAAATCTGGACTGTGGTGGTTAAACCTCTGTACATTAGAAAAATAAATGACTCAGATGCTTGAGTGGATGGATCTTAAAGCATGTAAGTTACATCTCATTCAAGTTGTTCCCTAAATAAAGCTTTCTTCTTCCAAAGGAAAAAGAAAAACAAACTAATGTCATTTTAAAGCTTGCTCATGGTTATTTATTTTAAATTTCTAGATTTTCTCTGTTGGCAGATTGTGCTTTGCTACCCAAGATGATTACATTTCAGAGCTGCGGTCAGACCATTATCTTCATGGTAGGTATTAAACTAAATATTTAATAATTGTGGCACCTCTACCAAGCACCAGGAATAAATGATAGGTCATTAAAACAGAAAGTGAATGTGAATGTGAAACTTCATTTAGATTTTTTTTTCTCTAAGCAAACATTCCTGGGTCTGCTCTCCTGTGAATTACACTCTTGAGAATATTTCACTTTTTTTTCATCTACCAGCTTATTATAGGGAGTGTAAATGAGGGAGATGGGCGAAGGTACCCACACGGGGAAGCTGCTCTTAACTGGAGCCACCTCTCTAGTCTCTCACCAAAGAACATTATTAAATGACTGATTAAATTCTCATTCTCTCCACATACGAAAAAGATGGACTCTTTTCTATGTGGCCGTCAACTGTTAAGCATCCCTCAGTCTACACTGGAAGAGATAGGTTTCTTCTTAGGAGCTTTGTAAAAAGCCTGGGGATGGCACAAACTGGCTTCCTTGTCCCCATAAAAGGCCTCAGAGAGGACGTAACAGAGTTCTATGCTTCAGGGCCAACAAGATGGACAGCAGCTAAGGCACCGAATGAACAGGCCTAGTGGCCTGAGTTCAAGGTGGAACCCGTACAAAAGTAGGAGAGAAATGACTTTACAAAGTTGTCCTCTGACCTCCACAAGAACACTGGTGTGCACATGCATGCATGCACGCAAACACACACACACACACACACACACACACACACACACACACTTTAAAAACCCATACTTTAACATGCTTTGATTCAGGATACATGATTTGCCTGTAACTTTTCTGGACTCTTAAGCCAACAGTTCCTGAGATGGGTTTTGAGCTACGGCTTCCCTCCCCTCCCGCCCCAGAGAACACATGAACACACAGAAGTAAGAGAGGAGAGATACAAACTAGGTCAGCTACGTTTCCCTTAAAGCCTAGTGATGGCTGAGGACTTGGAAGAAGCAATGAACTTTAAGGAAAGCAGTGACGCACTGTCAGGATCGGAAAGGGGACCTCGGAAGCCATGTGCCAACAGGAGCCGTGTTGGGGAACACTGTCTCCTGAGAGTAAAACGTGGAAGCGTGATAGTCACTGATACGAAAGCTAACATCCAAACCCTTGGCTGGGATTTTTGTATACAGTAGGTTTCTCATGCATCTCACAGTGAAGTCGGTCACAGCCAACAATGAACTGGCCAGCAGAGAACGTCCCCAAATTCCAACCTGAACCGGAAACCACACTGAGAAGAAAATTGTTAGCTTGACCCTCCTGTTGCTCACATACTTCTCAGTTATGATTATGACAGGCTAAACACCTTCAAAACATTTCCATTAGAGAGGGAAACCGTGTACTCACAGATGCACAAGACTATGAGAAAAAGGAGGTACGTGACCAGTTCCCGTAACACACTTTTCAGATATTTCTCTCGGTTAGTGTTGCTCTCTTCCATGAGTCTTGTTCCCCAGAGACCTTTAAAATAATGAAAAACAAACAAAACAAGTTCATCTTTCTTAAGAAATTTCACAAGTAGCAAAAGGAAAAATGAAATTAATAGTAAACCAGTTCTCATATGGAAATATGAATACATAAGAGTACTGCATGTAACTTAGAAGTCACTTAATTTAGTATACACCATGCTCCACCCCCCTCAAAAGTACAAACTCCAAATCAAACCATCATTTTTATAACTTCTAGGACCATTAGCAAATATCTTTAAAAGTTTAGGAGGATGGAAAAGGAAGGCAATTTAAAAGATTTAGCAATTTGTGTCACATAGCTCTTCCTCCTGCCTGGTACAGGACACACCTGGTGTCCCCCCTGCTAAACTCAGCTAAGTAGATGGTGTGACCACGGGGTACATCACGCTGAGGTCGCCACAGTACAAAATCCGAGCTGTTGCATCATTTCAATTTGGAAACACCTACTGAGCTTCTAGCATGGCGGCAGGAAGGCTGCTCTGGGCTCCTCTTTGTCCTGTAAGAATGGCACACAATGACACACAATGGCAACTGACCACCACGCTTAGCCTGTTTAAGCTTAGCAGGTTTGTAAAGGGCCAATTACTATGGTTTTAAACTAACAGCAACAGCTCATGCGGCTCTTCTGTCTTTCGTTTGGGAAAAACTACGATCAGCAGCCATGTCCTGTGTTTCAGCAGATGGAAAGTGTCAGGCTAGTGAAGTAAAGATGATGTAACCCTCGGAGAGGTTACTGGAGAGAATGACAGGTTTGGGATTCAGCCAGCAGGCAGTATGGTGGCTGTCCAAGCCCCTGTTAATAAACAGTGTGGTCAAGTCGAAATGCCGGATCCTTGGGAGAGCCTTAATATCTTCCCTAAAACACTGACTTCTCAATCCTTCCAGTTAGGCTATGAACAGACACAAACCTGGCTCCCATATGTCACCTCTCATTCTCTCTAGACCTTACCCCTTTCATTAACCCAAAATCAGACCACATCTGAGCTAGAAACAAGCCACAGGGAGAAAGGGGAACGCTGTAAGGTTTTTCACATCGAGGAAATGAGGTCATCATTAAGCTTGACAGACTTTTTTTTAACAACATAACACCACAAGAGCTCTACTCTATTAAATTTAGATATTCCATTTTCCTTTTCTTCCTTTAAAAAATTAGCATCTAAATTTCAAGGACACCATGTTACGCATCTCCGGTTTCACCACTCTGAGAGCTGAGCACAGTTTATGACCAGGTCTGCTGCTGCCAAGAGCTGGTGTTTGTCAGGGAATTGCTCATGCAGAAGAAATGCAGCAAGCGGAATGTTTATTCATTGAAACTCTATCATATCCGAGGGTTTTTACAAATGTAGATGACATGGAAAATTACAAGTCAGGCTAACACTGCAGCCAAGGACCAGGCTCGGCATCCCCGGGTACAACCATTCTTCTGTCTTTGGGTCGAGTTCTTCTGGAGGCCAGGCCTACAGCATGTGTAATGTGGTGTCTGCTAGTCTCTATAGCATCTTTACTGCTACGTGGTCAGTGATTTTATTCCTTCCAATGGTTTATAGACAGCCATGCAATAAGGAATAGACATAATTTCATACAAATGGTATTCTCTGACCTTTAAATAGAAACAGACAAAAACGATGTCAGATTTTTCTCAAGCCAAATTTACAAAGAATTATGGCAATTTAATTCAAGCCCTTAAAAGGAAATGAAAAGAAACATCCCTTTTCTTATCTCTATATGCTATCATGTGTTTACTTTTTCTAAATTACCCTACCTACCTCCTAAATATTACCAGTCTTTACTTGTCCCCCACCCCCCACTGGGTACACATAAAGGTCTTTCTTAGAAGATTTTCAGAGACCTCTCTGCATCAGTGTCCTGTTGCAGACGACTCCCCCAGTTAGGTTGACAGGCAGGAGTGGTTTAAGGTGCATATTACATGGCAGCTCAGATTCACATGCCCCAAATGAATGCTCTTTTCCCCCCTCTAGAAACTTCTTCCTATTTGAGCAAATGGCATCAGATCTGAGGTCCATCTCAAAGGCAGCTCTCTCTCCTCTTGTCCTTCTTCACATGGAGTTGGTTCTGCAATTATTTTATTTTATGCGTTGAGACAGGGTCTCATTCTGTAGCGTAGTCTGAGTTGAACTTGGAATGCTTCTCCGGCCTCTGCCTCCGGAGTGCTGGGAATGCAGACATGCACCACCACACCAAGCCTGAATCTGTAACTCTGATGGCTTCTGTCTTTAATCTAGGCCTATAGCATCACAGCCTGTATGCTGACTTGCAATTCTGGTCACTTTTTTATGTGTCAGCTCTCTCCTGACCATCCATCCACTCACTGTATTCTCTACATTCTTCAGTCTGGCGTATGGTTATACTAGTCCTGTCTGAAGTCTCCATTACTCCAAATGCCTACAGGAAAGTGTACCAGCTCCCTAATGCAACATTCAGGTCTGCTCAGCCTTGTTCCTGCTACTGTTCCCTGCCAGAATCCATCCCCCCTTGAAGTGTGACTCACTTTGAATCCCCATGAAGACCTTCACTGACTTCCTCAGGTGAGATAGATTACCTCTGCCTTGAGTTCCTCCCACACCCAACACTCTCACTACTGTAACTACTGATCTGCAGCCATTTCCCCTGCTAGACTTGGAATCTGAGCAGCTTGAGATTTGGGGCTGTGCATTATTCATCCACGCATGCCTAGGATCTATTATCAGAGCAGCAATTCTCCACAAGTTTATTGACGACATGGTCACATTACTAATGCGACTTCATCACACCGTAGAGGGCAAAGCCAGCAATGAAAATGGAAACTGTTTGTACAAAAGTTTGGTGCAAATGAACGAAGGAAGAGATGATGGAGGGTGTGGAGTAAAGCTAAAGAGGAAGTCTCTGTGTCCCCATGTGGGGCGCACAGGTACACACAGAGACCAGAGGACAACCTCGGGAGCCTCTCCTCAGTCACTGTCTTAGTGAGGGTCTCTATTGCTGCGGTGGAAATGCCAAGACCAAAGAGCAAGTTGGGGAGGAAAGGGTTTATTTGGCTTACACTTCAGCATTGCTGTTCATCACTGAAGGAAGTCAGGACAGGCACTCAAACAGGGCAGGAATCTGGAGGCAGGAGCTGATGCAGAGGCCAGGTAGGGGTGCTGCTTTCTGGCTTGCTCCCATGATTTGCTCAGTCCACCTTCTTATAGAAGCCAGGACCACTAGGCCAGGGATGACCGCACCCACCATGGGCAGGCCCTCCCCCATCAATCACTAATAGAGAACATGCCTTACAACTGGATCTTATGGAGGCATTTTCTCAGCTGAGGCTCCTTCCTCTGATGACTCTAGCTTGGGTCAAGGTGGCACAAAACCTGCCAGTACACTGTCCACCTTGGTTTTGAGACAGAGGCGCCCCCCAGCCCCCGGCCCCTATTGCTGGCCAGGAAGTTGCCAAGTGAGCTAGACAGTCCTGCCTTGCCTTCCCCGCTGGTGGGATTGGAAGCACATGACACCACCACACACTCAGCTTTTTAAATATGGGTTCTGGGGATCAAACTAAGGATGCTGCTATCTCCTTAGCCCAAAGGAAAGTTCCAGCAGCCAAATGTAAAAGGTGAAAAGGAAAAAAAAAAAGAAAAGAAACAGAAAAAAACAAAGGAACAAGCCCCTCCTCCCATTGGGTTGTGGGGGTCCTTCTACTCATCAGCTGGAGCTGAAGGCCAATATCAGCCCTCAGGTATCTTTGTTTCCTGCCTCAGTCATGACTAGAAGCTGGGTGTCCCTCGGCCTCTACCAGGCAGATTGAGCAGAATCAGGCCAGGACCTTCAGCAGCAGTCATGAGGAGGAAGGCTCTGGCTACCCTTTGGTACCATCAGGCTCTGGAGAGTTACTCCTGCTCTACGTGGCCACCACAGGCATAACGTATGTCCACCACCCATGAGGACACGGGCCACAGCGATGCCTGTAAGTGAAGGGTTTGAGCACTCCCCTGTGTTTCTGGTGAAACCATGGCTCTGGTCTTTAGGGAGGTCCCAGGAAGGGAGTATCTGGAGTGGTAACTGAGATAGCAGGGAGACAGAACACTAGAAAGGATCGTAGGAGACTAGTCACCTGGGAGGGCAGCCTGCCCATCAGCTCAGCCACATCTCTCAGCAGTATTTCACACAGGATGGCTGGGGGATGGGCAGTGAGGAAGAATTGAGAGCAGGTGCTCGAGACTGGGTGCCACTGACCCCATGGTGAGGAGACCAGACTCCAGACTGGCTGTAAACATCAAGTCTGAGAGATGGCCCCCAGTTACCCACAAGGTCTAGCCTAGGACCCGCCTCTGAAACATTTCTATACTGAGGTGCCGCCTTCAAAAACTGATAAGTCGCCGGTGGCACATGCCTTTAATCCCAGCACTCAGGAGGCAGAGCCAGGCAGATCTCTGTGAGTTCGAGGCCAGCCGGGTCTACAGAGTGAGATCTAGGACAGGCTCCAAAACTACACAGAGAAACCCTGTCTCGAAAGAAAACAAAAAAAAAAACAAAAAACAAACAAACAACAAAAAAAAAAACCTTGATATGTCAATACTTTGGAAAAGCTCCAAAGATCTCAAAAAAGTTTCAGGGAGCCGAGTAAGATATTATTTTAACTGTAATCCTAGTAGCCAACTTCTGGAGGGATGAAGCAGGGGATGGAAAGTCCCAGGCCAGCTTGTACTGTGAGACCCTGTCTCAAAAGGCCAAAATTTTAAAAAATACCCAAAACATGTCCATTATCAGGGAAAAGTTAGGGAAATGGGGTGTTTATGTGTGAATATGATAAAAATACACTGTATGCATGAAAGGAACTCTCAAATATAATAAAAATACTAAATTTAAAAAAACATGTCCCTCAACTAAGTAATGGATAAACAAAATGTAATCCACATACACAATGAACCAGGAGCCAGTCATCTCTAGGAGCAAAGTTCGGGTGCACACTGCTGCAGGCAGGAGCTTGAAACCAGGCTACATAAAATAAGCCAGACACAGCAAGGAAAATTCTGACTTCACTGGTAGTGGATTTGTACATGATTATGAAAAAGTCTGGGGAAAAAACAGTTAAGTAAACCACACTGTTAGAAATACATCTAATGCCCACTGAGCTCTGGCTAAAATGGTAAATGTGATGTTGCATGAACTTTGGCACAATTAAAAAAAGAAAGTAGGTTCCTCCCCTTCAGATAAACTAGGAATTAGGATACACAGAGTCAATGATATGGTTAACCCTAAGTATCCTGATGAATCAACGTTTAAAAAGTAGGAAAATATGAAAAATGGCTGACTAAAGTTAGGTATCAGCACTGCAGGTATCAGTCATAGCAAGAACAGCTTTGGGATCCAATGCCTATAATTAAATCCTAGTTCCAATATTTAATAGTTGTGAAGTCATTTAAGATATAAAAGCCTTGGTTCCCTCATCAGGAAGATGGTGTGAGGATAGCTTCTACAATACAGGGGACACCCTATGGACAAAACTATGACCATAAAAAGGCGTCAAGAGTGCTGAGCACAGTGAGTAATTAATTCATTGCCACTTCACAGGTTAGGGCACGGTGTCTCCTCGGGCTCTCTACCCCTGACATGCTGGATGGGATGATGTGCTGTAGTGGAGGAAGAGGCCGCCCTGTGCTCTGTAAGATGTCAGTACCATTCTTGCCTTCTACCCAGCAGGTGCATCCCTCCTCCCATCCTGGGGTTGTCAAAGCCCCCAACACATTTGCAAAGTTTTGCTGCCCGTTTTAGACACCTTCTCATTTGATTATTTCAACGAATCGAGGGTTATGTACTGCCCATTTCTTTTCTAAAAGAAAACTTCAAGGTCAGAGCAGTTAAATAACATGTTCAAGGTCAAACAGTAGGAGAACCAGGATTTAAATGTAGGCCTGTCTAAACCACATTGCTTCAACATCTGGATAGTTTCTGTGCTGGACTGGGAATTGCAGACAGAGGTGTGTGTGTGTGTGTGGCGGGGGGGTGAGGGGGGGGGGGACAACAAGAAATACCAGGATGAAACTCTTAAAGGTGGGGGGTAAGATAACTAGGTGGGTGAGAGTTAGTGAAACCCTAACTCTCCACGGATGCCTCTGGTGGCAAAAGTTTGAGAACATGGGATTCAATCTGCTGTTGGAAAATCTGTGTCCTCTCCAGCCCAGTGGAGAGTTGTGTGCACAGAAGGCTGACACACGAACCAGCTGGTATCTGGAGAAGCAATCATCTTATTGGAATGGCCAAAAACATTATTTTAAAACAGACTTCCAGTCTTTAAACACACACGGGGTAGGGGTAATGTTTTCTTTGCAACTGTTTAAGAAATACATCTAGAATGAGAAATGGTCAAAACTGCGTTTCTACAGACGTTTCTGTATTCATGTCGTCAACGACTCTCCTCTCCACCAATCCTACCTATCTACAGGCATCACTCTCAAAACATGGGTAACGCTGTAGGTCCCTCCTTAGACCAGCTGAAGGGACATGATGCATGGCCGCCAAATGAAAAGCATGGGAGCTGGAATAAACTTATTCCTCATTTTGGGACATTTAGCAAACACACAGTTCATCGGTTGTACTAAAATTGTCTCTTTTCGTCCTCCACAAGCCCCAGATACTCCTGAAAACGGCTTTCTCCTCTTTTCCCAAGTGTGCTAGCATCCTAAAGAGAGAGGGAGGCGCCCAAGGAATTCGCACCAACAAGGGCGCAGTGGAATTCTGCGCTGGGTACCGGAAATCGCGCAGAGTGAGCGGAGGTGGGGAGGGCGCTCGCGAAGGAGGCGGGAACGCGGAGGACGAGGGTTCGGGCCCGCAGGCAGGCAGTTCTCACGCGCGCACCGGAAGCCGCGGGTCCCATTCTTACCTCGCAGCCCGCGCACCAGCCTCTCGGCCCAGGCCACTCGGGGCGGCTGCCCGTCCAGGGGGAGGTGGCGATGCAGCGGGTCCCCGCCGCCTGCGGGGCTGGGACACGGCGCGCCCTGGTCCTCTAGCCGGCGCCTCCTCCCGCTCGGATGCCCGGCGCCCCGGTAACTCCCCAGCGCCCGGCCGCGGGCGCCTGCCGAGCTCACGGCCGAGGAGGAGGCCGACCTGCGGCTGCCCGGGCGCCACTCCACGTCCATCTCCACCACCATCCCTCCTTCCTCCCCTTCCACCTCGTCGTCGTCGTCGTCCTCCTCGGCCTCGAAGCCCGGGTTATCGCGGCTCCACGCCTGCCTGGAGCACGACGAGAGCGGAGGAGAAGGGGAGGCCGAGGCTCCGGCCGGGGGGTCCCGCGCAGCCGCCTGCCGGATGCGCTCCATCTCGATCTCCAGGCCCCGCTGCTCCCGGAGGCCTCCCGGGACGGCCAGGCCGGCGCCCCCAGCCGCGCCTCCTGCAGCCAGCCGGCCTGACCCGGGAGC